AAGGAATAAAAAAATAAATAAAGAAGGAGTAAATAATAAGTGCATTGTGAAGCTAAAACCGTAAGTGACCAAATCTGGCATTTTCTAACTGTGGGGGTTTGAATGAGAATGTCCTCCCCTAGGTTCATATGTTAGAATGCTTGGTCTCTAGTTGGTGTAACTATTTAAGGAGAATTAGGAGGTGTGACCTTGCTGGGGGAGGTGTGTCACAGGGTTGGCTTTGAGGCTCCCAAAGGTTCCTACTATCCCTAGTATGCTCGCTGCCTCCCAGTTGTGGGTCAAGATGTAAGCTCTCTGCTGCTGCTGCTCCAACTACCTGCCAACATGCCTTTGCTCCACCATCACAGACTCTGAGCTATCTGAAACCTTAAACCCAATTAAACTCTTCCATTTGTTAGTTGCCCTGGTCAGGGTGCTTTATCAGACAATAGAAAAATAACCAATGTACTAAATAGTAAACATTCCCTTTACCTTTACTCACAGATACATCTGGACAGTGCTGTGGAATTATCCTTTTGTACACTGTGAGCATTTGTTACTCAGATTGGCTTAATAAAAAACTGACTGCCCTGTAGCTAGCTAGACAGGAACTACAGGCAGAACTACAGCCAGATACAGAGGAGGCTGGGAAGAAGGGTGGAGTTAGAGGAGCTGTTAGCCAGATGCAGAGGGAGCACGGTATGCTGGAGGACAGGTAAAGCTGTGAGCCACGTGGCAGCAGGTAGATTAACAGAAATGGGTTAATTAAGTGGTGGTAAGAGCTAGTTACGAATAAGCCTGAGCTATCAGCTGAGCATTTATTATTAATAGTAATTCTCTTGTGGCTATTTGGGAGCAACTGCTGGGACACAGGAAACCTCCCTGTAAACAATGGGGGCCTATACTTTTTAATTTGTCAGTACCAGGAGTTAAATATTCTACTACCGAACTACAGCCCCAGCTAACGCCTGCATATTTTACTTGTCAGTCTTCAAATAGTGGTCAACAAATAAGATGGATGAAGAGGTGGAAGAAGACAAGATCATACTAGCAATCATTTGAAATTGTTATTTGAGTATAGAACAGCCAGTCAGGTGTCTCTGACCTTCAGGGGACTCTCAGAATCTATGGGACAATGTTATGGAACTTTGCATTCAGAGCCTATGAGATAGTCCTCAGGGATAGTATCCCATTCTGTGACTCCTAGAAAACTGTTCTATGATACCATAAATAAATCTTGGCATAGCACCCTTGGCATATCACACATATTGGTAAGTTGTTATTTTACTGTAAACATAAATGTATCCTTTTTTGTTGTTGTTTGTTAGTTTGTTTGTTTGAGATGGCCTTTCTCTGTGTAGCCAGGCTGTCCTGGAACTCACTCTGTAGATCAAGCTGGTCTTGACCTCAGAGATCTCCCTGCCTATGCTGGGATTAAAGGCACATGCCACCATGCCTGGCTTATTGTATGCTTCTTAACTGGGTCCTACATAGCAACTTAGGAACACATTTTTTCCATTTAGTATTTTGAGACAAGGTTGTCCTATACATCCCAGGCTAGATTTGAACTTACAGTTGTCCTCCTGCCTCTGCTTCCTGCATGATAGAATTAGAGGCTTGTCACACTACATATTAATTTGGAGACATTTTTGATTGTCACAACTGGGAGAGGGCATGCTACTGGAAGTATCTCACAATGCATAGGATAGTCAGTCCCACTATAACTGGCTCCAAATGTTAGTAGTGCTGAGTTGGAGAAATCCTGGTGCCAGTGACTGAAGAACCTAGAGGGAACCGTTAATGTAGTAGGACAGCAGAATCTTCCAGATGTTTAGAATTCTACCATGGTGTCTTAGGGTTTTATTGCTGTGAAGAGAAAGCAGCAACTCTTATAAAGAAAACATTTAATTGTGGTGTCTTACTTAATGGTTTCAGAGGTTTGGTCCATTATCATCATGACCGGGAGCACGGCAACATGCAGGCAGATGTAATTAGTGTTGGAGGAGTAGCTGAGAGTCCTACATCTTGCAGGCAACAGGAAGCCAACTAGCTGTGACACTGAGTGAAGCTTAAACAAAAGACCTCAATGCCCACCCCACAGTGACACACTTCCTCCAACAAGGCCATATCCACTCCAGCAAAGTCACACCTCCTAATAGTGTCACTCCCTATGAGATAATGGGGGCCAGTCACAGTCAAACTCCCACACATAGGAACCAACAGCTTGGAGGTGTATTGTGTATTAGCGACTTCACACCAGTTTGAAGAAAATACCTGAAAGACACGATTTAATGGATAAAATTTTCTTACAGTTTCAGAGGACTTAGCAGATAAAGATGGGGAAGGAACGATGGGGTAGATAACTTCTCATCAGAGCGCACATGCTGGTTTGCTTTCTGTTGCTGTGACAAACACCGGGACCAAAAGCAATGTTGGGAGGACAGGATTATTTGTCTGACACTTCCGGGTCACAGTCCATTAGTGAAAAAAGTTGGGGCAAGAGCTGAAGCAGAAACCGTGGAAGAACTCTGCTTACTGGCTCACTTGTAGCTACCTTTTCTTTCTTTCTTTTCTTTTTTCTTTTTGGTTTTACGAGACAGGGTGCTACCTTTTTTTTTATATACAGTCCAGGACCACCTGACCAAGGAACAGTTGCTCCTACAGTTGGCTGGACCCTCCCACATCAAAAAATAACCAGGGCAATTCCCCACAGACATAGCCAATGGCTAATCAAATCTGGCCTCTTCCCTCTTCCCAGGTGACTTTTGGTTGTGTAAAATTGTTAATAACAACTAACTAGAAGAGCAAGCTAGGGAGCAGGATTGGAGGCAGGGTGATGGGACAGCAGACTCAGGCAGCCCCAGGGTAATACTCCAACTAGACCTCCCCCACCAAGTAATCCATCTCCTCCAACTATTTACCACCTCCCAAAGTTTTCGGAATCTTCCAAAATGGTACCACCAATTGGGAACGAAGCACTCAAATCATGAGCCTGGCAGGACCGTTTCAGGATCAAACCTCAACAGAAGGACACTATACATTATCGATATCTGTGGCTTGATATCATGGCACCAAAAGCAGGTGGCAGGAGAGGCTCTGGCTAGAGCAATCCAAGGTTAGAGAAACACACTTTGTCCCTGGAATCAAAGTCAGTAAAAGAAATACACCCTGGCCCTAAAATTGTAGCCAAAAGGCTAAAAAGGACCAGAGAAAGAAACATACTTTGACCTTAAAACCAGAGCCAAATCTGACCCTAATCCTGTGCAGAAAACCAACCAATCATCCAGCAGGAACTCTAGCCAATCTGAGCTCAGCATTGAAGTCTGACCAATCCCCATCCTGAAAACCCTATATAAACAGCTTGTGTCTGTTTTGCGCTATCTGGCTGTCTTCTGCCACTCTGGCAGAGGGCAGCCACTCTCCTGGATTCTTCCCTCCCAATAAACCCCTTTGATGAGCTTCTGGTGAAGATCTTCTTTTGCAGAGGAACAGAGGCGACCCTGGGCAGAGCAGAGCACCAGGGAGCAAAGTTGTTACACTCCCTGGAGCAGAGCTGAACTGTAGCAACTTTGCCATGCCAGAGCAAAACTGCTACACTGGGCAAACATCCCCAGCTGGAAGACCCTCTCCTGCCTGAGCAGAGCCGATACACTGGGGAAGCCTTTCCCTGAGGCAAGGCTGTAAGCTGCTAAGCTTACTGCAACTTATGGTAGTCCTTGGCTCCAGAGCTCCAGGATATCTTTCCATCTGAGCTGTGTAAAACTCAGTATTCTGGCCGGGCGGTGGTGGCACATGCCTTTAATCCCAGTACTCGGGAGGCAGAGGCAGGCGGATCTCTGAGTTCGAGACCAGGCTGGATTGACAGCCTACAAAACAATACGAGACAGGGTTTCTCGTAAAAACCAAAAAACCAAAAACCAAAACAAAACAAGACAAAAAAAAACCCTCAGTATTCTGTGACTCCCCAGTGCCAGAATACCAGTCTCATCCCGATCTGATCAAAATGCCTACGAATATCCCTAACTCAACCATAAAATATGCAGTCTTTTGATAGAGACATGTATTTTTCTCAGCTCTGGGCCAGACATTTTCTCTGTCACTCAGGGTTGGGAAACAAGTTATCAGCAGGGCATGTTTTGCAAACGTCCTTCAGCAACGCCAAGCTTTGGGTTGTGGACTTATAGACAAGGTTCCTGTTATGTTCTTTAAGAGCTTAAATGGTGCATTTGTAATTAGGTGGTGCCTATGAACGGGAGAACCACATCATGGTTGGAAAACCATTCTCTCAAGTGGAAGATCTAGAGGATTGAGAATCTGTACCTTTTGTATCTCTGGAGACATTGCCTCACTTTATAGCCTAGGCTGGCCTCAGACTTGCGAAATCCGTCTGTTTTAGCCTCCCAAATTTTGGGATTATAGGCTTGAGCCACTGTATCTGCCTAGACCTTGTCTTTTTAAGTTCTGTACAGTATAGTTTTTTGTTTAAATGTCGTGTTTACAAGCACAATGAAGCTTGTGAATGGAAAAACCCTGATAGCATCAAGTCGGGACATTTACTCTCACAGGTGTGTCCATCCTGAGGCTCATGGCAACATGTGGCCCAGGATAATACTAAATACTGCCCAGTACAAAAATCGTAAACTTCAAACATTGTGAGATTTTTCTTTTCCTTTTTGGAATTTGAGCGGTTCTCCAGCACAAATTTTGTGTATGACGAGGTCCCAATATCGAGTCGCAATGTTGGTAGAGCATACACGCCTGCAAGCGAAGAACCTGGAGCCCAGGAGAACTTCATCAGAACCTTTTGGCTGTACTTTATAGCCCTGCTGAGCCCGGACTACATTTCCCAGGATACCCTATGGCTGAGACTCACTCAAGATTGGGTAAAACAATGAGGAAGTGATTTCGGGTCGCCCAGCAACGGGCGGAGTCCGGCACCGTGACTGGGTGAGCACGCCCCTTCCAGGAGGGTGAAGAAGCTTATTCCAGTTTCGGAGCCGTTCCTGTCTTTCCTTCCAGCCGCAGGGCACTTTTGGTCTCTTCTGCGCTCTCACCGCCTCTCTCCTCAGGCTCCGCCCCCTTTCCCGCCAGTCGCCGCCAAAACAGGAAACTGGATCGCAGCTGCGGATCGGCTGGGCGAGCAGCGCGCAGGCGCGAGCGGGCCGGTCCCCTTGACGCGCGCGGCGCGGTTGAAGGGAGAGTGAGTTGCTGAGGTGACCGGGTGACTACTTTTATCTCCACCATGGCAGCTCTCCGCTACGCGGGCCTGGACGACACGGACAGTGAGGATGAGCTGCCTCCGGGCTGGGAGGAGAGAACCACCAAGGACGGCTGGGTGTACTACGCCAAGTAAGCGGCCTGGAGCGGGGCGCTCGCGGGGCCCGTGTCCTACGAGGCCTGGACCCTGTGCCGTCCAGCCCGGCGGGCACGCGCATCCAGATTGCCAGCCACCTGTCCCAGGTTCCCCGTCCTTACTGGCTCAGGGTCTAGACCAGGTCACCTGGTCGCCTGCAGCACGCCCCCTGCTGCTCACTCGGTGGCACTGCACTGTGCGTTGATGGCTCATGGGTCTTAACTCTCCTGAGGAGGAAATAGAGCAAACTTCAATGCCCGGTTCCCGCCAAGGGGACCTGCGTTGGAGACCCAGCAGTCTGTATTTTTTAAACAGAGGTCCTGGATGGGTCGCAGTGGTTTCCCAGGGAAGATTTGGAAACCGCAGCAGAACCTTTCTCCATTACCAATCGTGACCTTGGGCCACTGAAAGCCTTGACTGCTAGTCTGTTTTCCCCATCAGCAAAATGAGTTGACACAAGAGTGAGCCACTCAGTGGAGAGAGGCTGGTGGGTTGTAGGTCACCCGCCGAGCCAGCATTGGTTGGACTGTATCTGTGGCAAGAGTTGCTTAGGCCTGATGTTGGAATTACCTGTGTAATTCTGTGTCTGGAAGGTGGAGGCAGGAGGCAACAGGATCAGGAATTTAGTGCCATCCCTGGCTACATGAAGAATTCTAGGCAAGTGTGAGCTACAAAACACTGCTGGACTAGCAAAACTGTAGCACTGTGCCACTAAACTCAGGGACTCTCGCTGTAAACCTGGCTGGCCTGCAGCTAGCTTAACAGACCAGGCTGGCCGCGAACTTTCACAGATCCACCTGGCTTTACAGGGTCTCACTGTGCATATAGGCCTGGGTGACCCGGATCCTCCACCCCTCGCATCTGGGTAAGGTCTCATGTGCAGACGCTGAGTTTCTATAGAGAACCCACTGCAGCTGACTCTATAGTTGGGGGAATCTGCTCATTTTTTAACAAATATGTGTTTGATGTACAAAATGATGGGTTTTGATACAGTTAGGAGTCTTGATTGGGTTCATCTTCTCTGCTAGCTAAAGAATTAAAAAGCAGGAAAAATCTCCCCAACACAGCAGGGGGCAATGGAGAAATCTCCAATACCTCAAACAGCAGCGGGCAGAACCAACCATTGAAAGGCATCTGTGGGGGGTGGAAGCGGGGGGGGGCACACTTTCACACAGCAGACACACATAGAGAAACTGATCCTCTGCAAAACAGACCTGGGAGGGGGGGATTCTGGAAGTCACAAAATAAGTACAGCTTCTTTTTGAGGGTTCTCTCTCTCTCTCTCTCTCTCTCTCTCTCTCTCTCTCTCTCTCTCTCTCTCTCTCTCTCTCCCCTCCCTCCCTTTCTCCCTTTCTCTCTCTTTTACTTTCTTGTCTTTGAAATGTTTTTCTTCCCTAACCTAAGAGTTGGTCAGTCAGAAGAAAGATAAGGTGGTTGATTGACCCACAACTGTTGGGTAACATGCCCTGATTTGGACTTGAACTTGCTGAGCAGGGGCCTGCTGGCAGGAGGAGAAAGCACACAAGGCCTTTGTTTTAAGATGTCAGGTTTTTGTCTCATGTGAGGATGGTGAGGAAGAAGCTGGCCTTTGGAAGTCCACACCTTTGCTACCTAGGCCCCTCTTCCTGTCTGTCAGCCTACCCAGGAGACTGCCTACCTCCTAGTCCCCGAGTTTTATGATGTCCTTTATCATGTGTATACTGTATACTTTCATAGCGTTCAGTGTCCTGTTACTCCCCCCCAATTTTCTTCCTCTTCTCAAATACTTCCCCCTCTACTTTCTTATGTGCTTGTAAAACACTTTTTAAACAGGGTCTCATGTAGTCCAGGCTGGCCTTAACTTGATATGTGCTCCTGATTCTCCTGTTTCCACTTCCTGAGGTCAACAAGTGTACATGAACACACCTAGCTTTATGTTTTTAAAATCTAGGAGAATCAGTCTGTTCACATGAGTGCCAGGAAACAAATGAATGTAATGACACCTGTAATTTGCATTTTTAGTTTTAAATAATTAATTTTAAAAATATGTAGACCATACTGGCTTTAAATGCACAGAAATCCTGTCTTCTGAGTTTAGTGACACAGTGCTACAGTTTTGCTAGTCCAGCAGTGTTGTGTAGCTCACACTTGCCTAGAATTCTTCATGTAGCCAGGAATGACACTAAATTCCTGATCCTGTTGCCTCCTGCCTCCACCTTCCAGATACGGAATCACATGTTTGCACCACCCTACCTGGTTCCTGCCTTGCTATCAAACTAGGGCTTAGCTTGTGCCCTGGAGTCTCTCCATTGATAGGTTGTAAACGCCCCATGAGATTTTCAGCTACTGAAGGGTACAAATCACTGCTGCCCCTAGTGCCCAGGTAGGAAGAAGCAGAAAAAGAAAAAACTGGTGAGTTCAAGTGTATAGAACCCTGAAGAGCCAGGTCCCTTGGTGGGCACTGGTGATGTCCAGCTGAGTGAGGAGCTCTGTAAGATCAGGCAGATGACTTGTAATTAGATAGTTCCAGTGCATTTTGTCTGTCCAGCATGAGATGTGGGTGAGTGGGTGAGGAAGGCTGCCTAGGAGAAGTGTCACTTGGCCTGTGTCTCAGAGCACAGGTAGGTGGGTCAGGTGGCAGGAAGTCAGGCAGGTGGAGGGGACAGGAGGAGGAACCCTAGGCAGGCCTCTGCGGTGCAAGGTTGTAAAGCCTGAGACTGTTGAGGAAGGAATCAGTTTGCAGAGGCTCTCTGTAATTCACTGAGGACCTGGGAGCCGGGGAGTGATACTGAGTTTGTGTCCTTAGAAGGAATGAGTGGCTATGGAGAAGTAAGTGGGTTGCATGAGCAGGAGGTGAGGGGTACAGGTATAGCAGTGATCCAGCATTTGCTGCTCCTACCTAGACCCCTGTGTGCAGAGTCCCTCTCTCTCTTAGAGACCTTACTAGTCTGTGCTGTCCCAACCACCTATACTTAACACTGTTTTTGGTTCTTGGCATCTCAAATAGGCATCTTGTCAGTTGATAATAAAGTAATACAGTTGCTCTTTTGTTGAGAGTGGATTTAAGGAAAGGAAACTTAACCTTTGAATGCCCTTTTCAGTGTTCCTCTGTTTCCTTGATAGGATCCTTGCCAGTGGTGATAGGTGTTTCTAGCTTTTGATCCATGCTCTATATGAGAATGATCTATTGTAGCTAGACTTTCAGTTTTAAATGAGTTTATTAAATGTGAATGGAACAAATGTAAAAGAACAAACATCAGGTAGCAGATAGAAGCCACAGACAGCAAAATTCTATCTGGTGGAGTACTCACAGGGCCCATCAGAAACAGACTGGAGGAGACTGACCAAGAGAGAAGTAAAGTCACAACTTTAAGTCAGATGTGTACAACATCAGCAGACATCTGGAGCTCTGTGTAGAGGTCATGCTGGCATTTCCATTTCCCAGTGCCTGCTCTCTATGGGCAAGCTTCCCCGTTCCACAGGCATTTTTATATTGTGGGGTAAATGGTAGCTGAGGGAAGGCACTTAGGAATCATCCGGCCTTGTTCAAGGACATGGTGTTTTTTTAAATACCCTTAGCTGTCTACTGTTTCCTTTCTTTCTGTCACAAACTAGGGAGCCCATCAGTCTCTTGGGGGCTTTTGGAGGACACTTGGAATAAACATTGCTAGAGCCTGGGGTAAGGGAAGCCTCCTTGATACAAGAGTCCGTTTTCAGTGAGCTTGGACAGCACATGACAGTTTACCAGTAGAACGTATTAAAGCTTACCATCTTATTATAACAATTAACCATTTGAAGTGTCCTCATAGCAGCCCCATTCTGCAGATGACAGGAAGTGATGGCTAAGAGGTGGAGTGAGTGGGCTAGTGGTGCATAGGGACTGTCTTGTCAGATCTAATGTTCATAGAGCCATGGTCATCTTGTCATAGTCAGATGATCTGTGCTGCTGCTGTCTTACATGTCCGCTCTTAATGTCCTTTTGGTAAATAAGCAAAGGGACGTAGTGATTAATGAGACAATGAAGTTACACCTAGATTCAGAATCTGCATTTAGAACTCTGTGTGTGTGTGTGTGTGTGTGTGTGTGTGTGTGTATAAGGGTGTATGCATGCCACGGCGTGCTGGTGGAGGTAAGGGTACAACTCAGGAGCTCATTCTCTATGTCCACCATTGGATCCAGGCAGCAAATTTGTGTCAGGATTGCATGGCATGCACTCATATTCTTGAGCCATTTGTCCAGCCCAGAATGTACATTTTAAAGTCACTTCTGTAATTTTAGTACTTAGGAAGTAGAGACAGTAGAATTAAATGTTTAGTGTCATCCATGGCTACATAGTAAGTTCAGGCCAGCTCAGGCTGCACAAAACCTTGTCTCCAAAAAACAAAAAACAACAACAAAACTAAACAAGACAACAACAGCAAAAACAAACAAACAAAAACCCCAAAAAACCAACAAAGCAAAAAGAAAAAGGAAAATAGAGATTTTTAAGAAGATTAATATTAACACTGTATTTGAGCTACATTTAATAGTTAAATGTGAACATTATAAACCAGACACTGAAGTTAGTCAGCAATCCTTAAATAAAGGGAATAGAAATGCAAAATGTCTTTCTAGGACCTTGTGATTCAAAGAGCTTTATGAAGTTGACTCATAGCTGGGACCCAGGCCCTCCTTGCTCTCCCCACCTGGCCTGCAAAATTCCTGCAGCATTGATTCCAGCCTGCAACCTGGGGCCCCTGACCTGATGTGGCCTGGAAAATGTCTGCACTGAGTACTTCTCTCTGTGCCTGTTCTTATTACTCCAGCTCTGTGTGGGAGAGACTCAATCTAATACAGTGATTACTAGGTAGCCATGTTAACTTATTCTGTTGTGGGTCTCTGTTACAGCCACACCGAGGAAAAGACCCAGTGGGAACATCCGAAAACCGGCAAAAGAAAGCGAGTGGCAGGAGGTGTGTATGTCAGAAGCACAGAGCCCTAAGTCTGAAACATTGATCAGCCAGGGAAGATGTCCCAGGGGCGAGGTAGCAGTTGACCCTGCCATTCTGGGAAGGCTGTCCGGTGGGTGATGAGCAAGGAACAAGTCTCTCCGTCTGAGAGTCTAATGGGATGTGGTAGAAGGGGAGATAAAATCTTGAGATGGAGGTGAGGGGGTATGCCTGATAGCCTTAAACAAAAGATTATGGAAACATTTGGGGCCTTTGACTACTTGGGTTTCTCTGAAGTTACACCATATGGGTAATTGCTCTTGGTGTAGGCTGTGGAGGCAAATGTCAGTATTTTATGGAAACCTACAGAGATAGCTATGACTTCTAGGTGCTTCCAAACAAGTGTACAATCCATGGAATAGAAGTGTTGAGTAAAAACAAAAGGCATTGAAGCTCCTTGACCTCAATGTCATTAGGGTCTAATTCGACAGGTGAGGTGGTACATGAAAATGATGGGCTGGCTCTATAACATGGTACAAGTCAGCATTCCACTGGTCAGTGTCTGGTGAACTTGCAGACTTGATTGTGGGCTTCAGGAATTCATGCTCATCGGAGAATCTGCTGAGGCTTGCAGTCGAAAGAGAAGCTGATTGAACATTTAAGAGTGGTTAAGTCAGAGGCAGAAATGTGGGCTCCAGATGGGATGCCATGCCTTTTGTAGCTGCTGCCCTTGAATCTTGTGTCCAAAGGGTCTAGGGGACAGGGAATAAGAAGGATGACACTTCTTCCTGACCTTGGGGTTTGGCTTGGCTTATTCCACTACACGTATCGCTGTCAATCTTTCTTGTGTTTCAGATTTGCCATATGGATGGGAGCAAGAAACTGATGAGAACGGACAAGTGTTTTTTGTTGAGTAAGTGTCTATGTAGAAACATGGTCGGGTTGTCTTTTAAGAGGAATTTTCAATTATAATTTCCTACATTGACTGCAGGAACATATAAAGTCATATATACCTGTTTTGTCAGCAGGAGTAACCATCTTCACTAGCTTTGTGATTTTTTTTTCCTTCCAGTCTGTGGTTTTCTACCCTCTTTTGTACACTAAGGTTTTGGGGTTAGACCAGACCCACCCTTCACACTTGAGTCGGCCACATGGATTGTGGTGTGGTATTCCCTATGCATACCCCTGATATAACAGCTGTGGTTTCTATTATCACTCCTTTAAGGTTAAACAAAATATTAACTTTTCAAGGAATTTGATAGCATTGCATTTTTGGAATTTTATGAAAATTTTCTTATGCTTTCAATGTATTTGATGGAAATACTATCTGCCTACCTACTTACCTCTCCCTTCCTTTCTTCTCTCCTTTGTTCCTTCAATCCCTCCCTCCCTCCCTCCATCCCTCCGTCATTACTTCCCTCTCTCCCTTCGTCCCTTCCTTCCTTCCATCCTTCTTTTCTTCATTCGTTCCTTCCTTCCTGCTTGCCTGCCTTTCTTTTCTTCTTTGTTTCTTTTAAGCTGCTTGTCTTTGAGGCTTCCTATAAACTTTACAAAGGATTTTAATGTGTCTATGTGACTGTATAAGGGCATCAGATCCCTCTACTATCATTTTACAAATTCCTTTGAGGCAGAATCTCTCCCTGAACCTGGACCTTGAGTTTTCTTGGCTCATGTGGAAGCCAGAAAGCCTCAGCAGTCCTGCTGTGTCTGTAACCTTTGGAGCTGGGGTTACAGTTGTGGAAACACAGATTCCTGACTTGTTGGAAGGGTGCTGAGTTCCAAGCTCCAGTCCTCACAATTGGGCAACAAGTGCTGTGCCATCTCTGGAACTCCACTTTCCAAATTTTTATAACTATAGTAACAGTTTGTTTTGGCCTCCCGTTACAATCCCTGTAGCAAGTTATAGTAAATGGTTTGTCAGCAGACCTAGTGAACTCCCTCCTGGCGTGTCTCCTGCCCTGGGAGCAGGTAGGCCAGGGCTCCCTTTGGAGAGTCTTGAGCAATCTTTGGCAGTGTCAGCAGGGCAGCCTCTCTGACAGGTGGGTGGGTGGGTGGATATTCTTTGCTACAATTAGATTATAAAGAATTTGCTCTCCCTTGACTTATAAAAATCTTTTCCCTTATCAAAATAGAGATATCATTTCTTTAGTTTTATGTTACAAATATCCTTTTCTACATATTTCTTGGAGAGCATGGCTGTAGAAACTCTTAGGTTCCCTGTAGCCAGACTCCTCCTGTGTATGTTCCTGTGCACACACACATTTCTGTAAAGCTATTCTCTGGTGTGCTTTCCTCTTTACTGGCCTAGAGCAGTGGTTCCAAAGTGGGATTTTCCAATCAGCATCCTTGGCAGCTCTTGGGAACTTATTAGATATACTCAGACCCCTTACTATCTGAAAATCAACTTAGGGTGTGGTGGTGGTGGTGCTGCCTGGCAGCCTATATGCCCTCCAGGGAATTCTGAAACATGCTGGTTTGACTGGCCTACTATAGAGAAGGGTCAGCTAAATTTGTCTTTAATGGGTCAGGTATCATGTTTTAGCATATGGCACTACATGGTTCCTGTTTTGAACAAAAAATGATGCCCATTGCTGTGCCCCAGTAAAACTACAGAAACAAGCTACAGCCACATCAGCCAGCTGCTGATCTAATGAAGAATGAACACAGGATTTAGAAGTAAGCTAAGACAAGGCTTTCCTGAATGGTTATTCTCTAGCCCGCTGCAGGGTGTGCTGGGATATGCTCAACAACCAGCTCTTTAGGGAAAAGAAATGTAGGTTTGTGTCTATGTGCAAATGCTATCACCATCGCCGGTTGCAGGCTACCAAGGTGGAATCACTGAGGAGCAGAGATGGCAGGCAGCATAGCCAGCACTGCCTACTGTCAGCATGGTCAGACAGGTTGCTCAGGCTGGCCTCGAAATTGCAGTCCTCCTGTTAGCTGCGATTACAAGCCTATGCCATGAAGCTCAGACACATACATTTGAAATCATAGTATTTTATGTATATCAGGAAGGCTCTTAATATAGTTTTAAACATGTGTATGGCATTTCAAGGTCTTTATCTCAGATCTTAGGAATACACATAATTTTCGTATTACATTTTGTATATTTAGAGTGTGTGTGTACATGCACATCATGACCCACACATGGCCATTAGGACAACTTGCAGGAGTTGATTGTTTCCTTTATCACATAGGTTTCAGGGATTGAGCTCAACCATCAGGCTAGGTAGCAGGCACCTTTTCCTGCTGAGCTGTCTTGACAGCCCAAGAATACATTTAAAATGAAAAAATGGTATTAAAAGGAATAATTTAATAATCTGTATGTGCCAGTATATGTTAATGTTGTTTCTGTAAGTTCTAGATCAATTCCAAATCAGAAGTAGAGTGCTTATAGGTGGCATGGCCATGGTCTTAAAATGCACAGCATTGAAACTTTGCTATTTGGTTTGCTTTGTAGTTATTAAGACTTCCATCATTTCCACATTCTCCTTGTATAACAGAGTTTTTAAGCCCTTGCACAGGCCATTGAAGTTACATGGACATGTATTGATGAGAGTGATTGGCAGATCTTGCAGACAAATTTAGATGAACATGAATTCAGTAGAAATCTAGAGCCTTCTCAGGAAGCTTCTATGAGAGCCAAGGGGCCAATTGTGTCCTTGTACCTTCAAGTAGTTCTGAGAGGCTTCATGGCTGTGTTCCCAGGCAGGAAGGAGTATGGTCCTTCTGGAGATGAGAAGATAGATCAAATGGTTCTGGATCTCTCCATGTTTGACAGTAAGCCTTTTGGTGCATGAACTATGGTGTATGCCTGAAGTATTAGAGTATCTTGCATTTGGAGATGCTGTTCCTTGCTGTATAGAGTTCACTGCCCTTCTTCTTCTTTGCAGCCACATAAATAAAAGAACTACCTACTTGGACCCAAGATTGGCATTTACTGTGGATGATAATCCAACAAAGCCAACTACCAGACAGAGGTACGACGGTAGCACCACTGCCATGGAGATCCTGCAGGGTCGGGACTTCACAGGAAGAGTGGTCCTGGTTACTGGAGCGAATTCAGGAATAGGTAGGCCCATAGCTTACTGTCATCTTTTTTTACTCTTTATTTTTTTGTGAGTGCCACAGTGAATTCCACTTAAATATAACTGTAATGAAACTTTGGTAGTGAATCTCCAGTTTAAAGATGGTCTCATAGCTTATCAGCTGTTGTTTCATTAAAATTGCAGCCTCTTTCAAACCCAGTGTGACAGTGGGAGGCTGTGTGGGGCCTGACCTTGAAGTTACTCAAAGCTGAGAAGTCAGCAAAAGGCTGTGGCTATTTTGGTATTCAAGGGCTGGAGACAACAGGCTCTGGCTAAGAGTTTTTGACCCGGTCTGTGTGGTGCATGGATGTATTCCAATTACCTGGGTTATTCAAACCAAAATTGATTGGTAATAGGATACTGGACAACAGTAGATTGTGACTTTGGATCCAAGGGTACTGCAGGTTTCCACTGGTCACTGAGCCTATCATTTTCTTTTGGTAACCATATCTTATTTCTTCATAAAACTGGAGAATTTGTCCTTTTTTTCACCTCTGCAGCAACCCTCCTAATTGCTGCTGTTTAACCACAGTGGCCATGGTGGGGTCGGTGGCTTCCTGAACTGGTGCAGTGGTAGCAATGAGGCAGGCGCACTTGTGCCGTCCTGAGGGATGGTGTTTTATTTTGTTTTGGTCCATTGATACCTGACGTTAGCAACTGAATTGCTTTGAGATAGGATATGCATCTGCAGATTGAAGAATAGGATTGCATCCAACTGTCCTCTGTCGGGTTTCTTTCTGTCCATCTGTCTGTCTATCACATTGTCCCCTCATGACTTCTCTCATGAGCTTTTTTCTAGTCTCCTCTATGTCTTTCCTGATTTTGAAGTTCTCAGTGTCATTTTCCAGTAACCATGGGAGGTGAGGTACCATAGCAGATCAGCCTCTGTGCAGTGTGATAGGCTCTCAGAGCTTGAGATTGCCATCCAACATATGGTCAGTAAGTATCTTGACCATACTCCCTCTAAGGTAAAGGGACAAAGGAGACTTTTTTCTAAAAAAAATTGGGAAGGATTTTCCTTAAAATCACCTCCCAAACCTCCTCTGAACTCAGAATACATTCAGTCCAGCCCTTTCAGTCTCTGCCTTGGGTTAAAGTCTGGAATACTGTCATGCTGTCAGTAGAGCTGCACTGCCAGTAATAATGACTGGTCCTCAAAATCCAAGACACAGTGTGCTGACCGTGTTCCGGTTCTGAGTGTGGACCCAGGGTACTGTAGAGTAAGGAATTAAGAAAAATCCCTTTGCTTATTTACCACTCAGCTCACTAGGAATTTAATGAAAAGATCCCACTCCCTTGGTCTTTTAGTTGGACAGTTTTCTTATTTATTTGTTCAAAACTTATTTTGTTTTATGTGTATTCTGACTGCATGCATGTATGCACACCATATTCGGAGTCCTGAGGAGCTTATTGGATATCCTGGATCTGGAGTTGTAGATGGTTGTGAGCCGCCCTGTTGATGATGAGACTTAGTCTGGCTTCTCTACATGAGCAACCCTTAAGCAGGGAGCCATCCTTCCAGCCCCGAGGATATGTGACTGGTTCCTGTCAGGCTGCTTGTTCTGATGTTAGCCAGTAGACCTTTAAATATGAATGTTGTCCTCTCAAAGATTGGCGGGACCAGGTGTTTGGCATTGTCATCTTGGACTCTGATTGGCTGAGACAAGGCGATTCTGAAGCGTGGGAAGAAACATGTGGAGCCAGAGGCTCCCAAAACCCTGGGAGCCAGGGCGGAAGTGAGGCCTCTTCACTGTTTCCGCTTCCCTCTGTCCCTTCCTTCCTGTGCCCAGTTTACTTTGTGGACACTGCATGGTCTCACTGGTGTGGCTAGTCCTAGGGTTAGGGCAAGATGGATTGTGCAGAGTTTTGGGAGGAAGGAAGCCAGTAGTGTTCCCAGTCCCTGCTTTCCCTCAGGGATTGACTTTAACATTGCTTGTCACTTCTCCCTTTCTACTCCACCAAGCGTAAATCTGTGCTAATGCTGAAAATTTTGACTCCTAATTTTTGGAATAATATGTTGCAAATTCCAGTCAATCAAATCTGTACAAATCCCTCTCCCTCTTCAAAAGGCGTATCAAACTTAAAGAAGCTGGAGGTTGATAGGCATGTGCCTTTTTGTCATGAAAGAGCTGCTTTTATGTCCTTTGAGGAAGTCTTGGAAAGTGTTCTTGCACAGGTAGTCTGTGGCTTCTAGATAACAGGCTTCCTTCTCCCAGTGGTGCAACTGCCAATTTATAAATTGCTATCACTGCTTTGTTTTTGCCTGTTGAGTGCAAAGTGGAGTTGGCATCTGCTCCCAAGAGATGTCACCCTCTGTGAAATCTTTGCCAGGGTCATCAGCCTCCCTTTCTTTGGGCCACAGCAGGGAGACACTTGTCTGTGTGTCAGTAGTTGAGTCTTTAGCCTGTGAAGCTGAGTGGATTGATTCAGAGCATGGGCCCCCCATGATGAAGGACCCCTTGTCTGCTCATGAGTGCTGTTACAGCAGCACCTTTTCCACCAGGTGGGGGGAGGACTGAGTTCTCTTGACCAACTGACAGTGCTCTCCTTACCCCCTTTGATGTGAACGCTGAGCAGATCATCCTGCCACTGACTTTCTCACACTGGCCGCAAGCAATGCAGAGCTAGCTTTTGAATGCCAATATTGATATTACTAATGCAACTGAAGAAATTCTCAGTTTTATGAAGGGTGAAAAGGCCAGTATGGTTCTGCAATGTAGGACAATTCAGAGCCAATGTAGAAGTATAATGGGAGCATGAAAAAATTACTTTTGGAGACAGTGTCTTACCATGTGTGCTTGCCTTGAGCTTGCTATAGAGGCCAGCCTGGCCTCCAGCTCCTGATCCTTCGTCACATGCCAGGATTACACTTGTGTCCACCACACCCAGCTCCCAGCCCTTTCCTTTACAGCTGTTAGCCAGTTTTACCTCTGTTGACTGGATCAACATCTAAATTGGATGTGAATCACCTGCAGCCCCTGGGTGTAATCTGACCGATTTTGTAGGTGTTTTATATTGGGACACAGCCATGCACATTTAGGGTATCATCAGAAGTTGAGTAACTACAGCAGGGATTACATGGGCCCCAAAGCCTAAAGTATTTACTGTGGGGCCTTCACTCAAAGCATTTGCTCTTCCCACGCTGGGTGGTCTAACTGAACACAAAGCAGCATTGCCTCACATTCTTATCAGCCACAGTTTAGCTGAAGCTGGAATATTCCAGGCTGCGGGAAGTGTGGCCAGCATATCATGAGTAGCTGGAAGGGTTGTCTCACCATTATCTGCCCTCCCCACTAGTGTTCTTAGTGAGCTGCAAGTTACAATGTTTTCTCCTCAGGAACTAACGCTCTTCTCCTCTTGACCTTTGTTTAACCAGCTTTCTGAACCTGAAGACTTTTAGATTGAAAGCTGTAGCTTGTGGACCTCAGTGGAGATCAGCATCTCAGGCTCCAGGGGGAGCCATCCCTTCATCCAGAGCTGCTGCTAGCAGATCAAGAGCCGGAGCCTGCTCACCAGTAGACGAGGGAGGAGCTCACTGCCATGTGTGCAGCACAGCTGGGCAGGAGGGGCAGGAGCTTGTGGCTCTTTGGACTTAGCCGCTGGCTGGCTTTGATTCTGTAGAAAAAGAAGGAAACAGCTTCAACACGGACATGATAGCATCTAAGTCCTGGGGAGTCTCAGGAAAGGGCATGTTTTAGGCTAGGGAGTCTCCCACTTTCCTGGGCATTTTCCTAAACTAAACCTGTATGCGAGCAGATTTGGCTGTGTGTGCACAGAGCTGTGTGGAAACTGCTCGCCTTGAACCTGTGGACTGACTTGCAGTCATTCAGCACTGGCTGGCTCTGAGAGCAGTCACATGTCCCTTGCATGGGGCAGCAGCTTTGTCAGAGCAGCGTTTGAGCTCCATATGATTGATGCTTCAAATGGATTGATGCGTTGCCATTCTGTTTACGGAGGAACAGTCAGGCTTTTGTCAGACTTGGTTAGACACCTGTTAGCAGGTAGGAGCACATTAGACATTTCCAATCCAGTGTTCAGGGTACTAATGACAGAACTCTTTTCGTTCAGTCTTAAGCCAATAGGAATTCTGAGCTTAATCAGAGTAAAAAGTGTCTTTTGCCTTCTGGATCTTTATAATGTCAGTCTGCATCATTCATGTTTTCCCTCTGAAATAGCCTGGCCTGGCTTTGATTTTTGAGCCAGAGGAGCCATTAACAAAAACAAAACTAGCTTTCCCCTTAGAAAAAAACATAAGCCAGCCATATTAGTGTGTGTTTGTGTGTGTAATATGTGTCTGTGTTTATATATATTTATATATGTATACACATACATATATAGTGTGTGTATGAGTGTATATATGATGTGTGTATGTGTATAATATGTGCATATATATAGTGTGTGTATGTATGCATGATGTGTGTGTATATATATATAATATGTATGTGTGTGTATATAATATGTGTGTATGTATTTTAGGACTGATGCTTTAGCTATCTACTGGTATATATGCCATTGTAATCACCACCCCAGGGCTTATTGTAGAAATTCACACACATGTATTCACGATTTTGGGGATAAAAGAGGTGCACACTCAAGCTGTCAGTCACCCCTCAATTTGTTCTCTTTAAAGCAAAGTAAGAGCGTCAGGCTTTCTTGGCGAAAGCCCCCAGTGTTCTTATAGTGTAGTGTGTTATGTATTGGTTTAGAGGATCTTGTCCCTCAATCATGTGCTGATGCTCTGACATGAAGTCAGTGCCACACTCTTATCCTGTAAAGCGCCGCTGTGATGCATCCCTGCCTGGAGAAAATACTGTCTGTTCTCAGCTGTTCTCCTTCGGGACTGCCCAGCACATCGCTCTCTCCTAAGAACTGCAGGGTCAGAGCCCAGCACATCCCTCTCTCCTAAGAACTGCAGGGTCAGAGCCCAGCACATCCCTCTCTCCTAAGAACTGCAGGGTCAGAGCCCAGCACATCCCTCTCTCCT